CTTACTGCTGTATTTTCATAATGACAATATTTACAACTGCTATATTTTCATAATGACAATATTCTTACTGCTATATTTTCATAATGACAATATTCTTACTGCTATATTTTCATAATGACAATATTTACAACTGCTATATTTTCATAATGACAATATTCTTACTGCTGTATTTTCATAATGACAATATTTACAACTGCTATATTTTCATAATGACAATATTCTTACTGCTATATTTTCATAATGACAATATTCTTACTGCTATATTTTCATTATTACAATATTTATAACTGCTATGGTTTCATTATGACAATATTCTTACTGCTATATTTTCATAATGACAATATTTATAACTGCTATGGTTTCATTATGACAATATTGACAACTGCCATATTTTCATAATGACAATATTTACGACTGCTATGATCTCATTATGACAATTTTATAATTGAGATATTTTTATTATGACAACATTCACAACTGACATGTTTTCATTTTGACAATAGTTATAGCTGACATGTTTGTTTTCACGATAACAATATTCACAACTGATATGCTATCACTATTTAAACTGACCTGTTTTCACTCTGAAAATATTTATAACTGGAAATTATAGCATGCTTTTATCATGCCAACATTCACAACTGATAACTGTTTTCATAATGACAATATTCACAGTTGATATTTTTCATAATCACAACATTCATAACTGATATGTTATCATTATTTAAACTGGCGTGTTTTCATTATGAAAATTTTATAACACGAAATTATAGCATGTTTTTATCATGACAATATTCACAACTGATAATTGTTTTCAAACAATATTCACGGTTGATATTTTTTCACAATGGCAAAATTCACAACTGATATGTTATCATTATTTAAACTGGCGTATTTTCATTATGAAAATATTTATAAATGGAAAATCTTTATAAATGGAAATTATAGTATGTTTTCATAATGATAATATTCACAACGATATGTTTTCATAATGACAATATTCAGACCTGACATATTTTTATTATTCAAACCATTATGAAAATATTTATAAATGGAAAATATAGCATGTCTTTATCATGACAATATTCAAACTGATATATTTTCATAATGACAATATTCAAAAATAACATGTTTGATAATAGACGTCACATTCACAATATTGGCATGTTTTTATAATGACCATCTTCACCACTGGTACAACACTATTTACCATTATACTGCTTCTGGGCTAAACGACTCGACTAATCGGGGTTCATCACGTAAAGGTGTATGTTTTTAAGGGAAGATTAAGGTCTATTAGGTTGACACGATTATAAGACCGATGTATTTCTTACATCTCAAGTACAATGAATCCCCAAAATTCCGCTGTATATATATATATTATCAATTGTTGAAATTATTTGATTCAAAGTGCAAAAATGGGGGAAATGTCTAATTTCTCCAAAATAATAAATATGGTGACCACATTTATAGAAAAAGAATACATTATTGTTAATCTTTCGTTTTTCTCAAATGAAGTATCAAAAGTCATTTCCTATTGAGAAAACCCTGGAATAACTAGTAAATTAGTTAATTAGTAAATGGCAAGTAATCTCATCGGCTTTCAACTAATTGAAAGCCCATAGTAAACTTAATGAAATAAACACATAATTTAAGGCACATAATAGACATTCTGTGATAATTTGAAGACAATTTATCAGTGGCGTAGCCAGCAGACCAGGGGTTCGATTTTTTATGTTATCCACAACTCTCCCCCTTCATCGGTGTACCTCACATAAAAGCATTTTCTGTATTTGTCATACATACAATTCATTCTTTAGTTAGAGTTCAATCACAGATATGTCAAATTCTGAAACATGCGATTCCCACACTTTTAGCTGATTTTTGAAAAGATTCCAAATCAAAAGATGTTTATTTCATTTTGTTATATAGGAGTTCCTAATGACCTCATGAACTTACAGTTACTTACTGAATACTAGTATTTTCAATAGCAAATATTTTTGAAGAATATAATACTTATTTAATCATGGCGCACATTGACAGATGATAAATAGTAAATTAAATGTAATGAAACAGTCTGAAATTCCAAAAAGACCAAATTGAAATAACAATATATCAACTGTGCTCTGTAGGCTCTAACATTAAACATTTCTTTTAAATTTTAATGCCTTGCAACAAAGAACAACTAATGCTGAAAAACCTATTTGTTCTTTCTTTGAATTGAAAATAAAAAATAAAATATTCCATTCTTTATCACCGTTCCGCTGTTTTTTTTTTATCATAAATGACGAGAATCATGAATGTTTTAAGAAATAAAGGCATTTTAGATGAACTTGTTTTGGAAAAATGAACATTTTATTATCTTTTAGACACACGATTTGAAACTTGTGCAAGGCTAATACCCTCGTCTTTCTGGCAAATACACTCCCCTCCAGAAGTTTGGCAACCTTTGCTCCCTCCTCTTTATGTTTGAATTTTTATTTACATAACCTGCGAGGAAAATACTTATAACATTGATGGAAATGTAACTTGACTTCATTTCCAATGCCACAAATTTTCCCATATTTTAAAAGTAAACCAAGGGGAACTAATGGGCTTTATATTTAATTAGTGGATTAGATTCAACCACAAGCCATCTGAAATCTCCATAATCCGTTGACGATTATCAGTGGATCAGTTTTTTAGAAAAATAAAAAGTGATTATCAGGAAGCAATGCATATTGGTACACCACGTGATTTTTTTAAGATTTTTTATTGTGAGCTTTTTCCCTTAACTGTGACAATAAAATACTCATTCGAAATAATAAATCTAGACTTATTCAATATAATCCTTCTATGCCTTTGCTTTCCTCAGCAAAAGATGACTGCATCTGGCTTTTTTATTTGACAGAACTTTCCACTGCATGTAATGTGTGTACCTTTTTAGCTTACACTTGTATTTAGTACCAGAGACATACTTACCTATAATTCCCTCCCTTAATCCATTTATTTGCTAAACATTTATAATTAATGACATTAACACGATCCACTAAGGTTCATCTCTATCCTTCTGGAGGATCTGCGATGCAACAGAGAGAGATGCTGCGAGTATGCTGCGAATGACTAAAGTTTGATATTCGTCAAAATAGATACTAAATACACCGAAACAGCAACAATTTAAACTTAGAAAATCTCCGAGATAAACGTGCATCTGAATAGAAAACTGATTTTTTTCACAATGGATTTATTATTCCTTAAAAAGTGATGGGTAATAAATACCCATTCGATCAAATGCTTGTGTTTATAAATGATACATATGCTTTGAATAACTCATTTCAAAATGTTTCTATTATTAAATATTTGCTTTCGAGGACTTATCAGCCCCGGGGACTTAGCAAGATTTTTGGTTTGAAATAAAACAAAACGGAGGCGCACAGATTTGAAAGAAAATTTGTTTTCATCAGTCTTAAGACAGTTGGTTTATTTCATCGTAGATAGAGCAGCTTTTAAGGTGTTCAAAAAACCGACCAAAGAAATCGCTATATTTTGGAAAATGCTAATCCAATTGTGTTCATATTTTCAGGAAAGAAAGGAGATACTGTGTATGTATAGCTCCTGATGTTAGTTAGTTGAAAAACATGATGTCTTGGGCACATGCTCAAAAGACAGTTGTACAAGGGAAATATGAAAAACGCGAATGGAAAATTACTATATCTTGGAAAATAGTACTAATTCAATTATGTTCATTTTTTCAGGAAAAGAAAGACGGTGTGTGTATAGCTCTTGTTGTTAGTAATGCCTTTGACACCTGCTCAAAAGACAGATGTACTTGGAAATATGAAAAACGCAGTCATAGGTGATTGCCAACCAAATAACGTAGTGTTTTGGCACTTCAAATTTGGCACAATGTGTGGTGAATTTGTGGACTTTTATCAAAATCACTCCAGGGACTTTACAGTCATGGTCAAAATGCCTTCTTAAGCCTGCCTGAACCACGGCGTTTGACTGCGATTTGAAAGCATTTTGACCATGACTGTAAATTCCCTGAAGTGATTTTGATTTCACCCTACAGATTTACCATACAGTGAATGAAGATGATTTGTACCCAATTTGAAGAGCCAAAAGACCATGGTTAGGAAGTTATTTTATTTTTCTGCGGTTGCGGTCCTCCTGACTGCGTTTTTCGTATTTTCCTAATACAACGGTCTTTTGTGCGAGTGTCCAAGGCATCATGTTTTACAACTAACTATCTACAGGAGCTACACAAACACAGTCTCTTCTTTCTTTCTTGAAAATATGAACATAATTGAACAGGTTTTCAAGATATGGCGATTTCTTTGGGTTGCATTTTTTAACACCCTGTAAGTTGGGCGAAATTATCGATATTTCTTCTTTGCATAATGCTCCAGGGTCTTCCCAAAATTGGAGAAACTACGTGCGAAACTACATTCATGATCAACGGCAGTGAACAGGAGGTTTACAGTCGCACCCGGGTGCGCTAATTCCTTTTTTAATGTTTGTTTCGCGAAACGAAATAAGTGTTTAATGAGGTCAGGAAAAATAAAAACTCGTTTAAATAGAATTTTATACGTGACTTATTTTGTATCTACCAAGGCGTTAAACATAGTTATGTATTTTGATCGGTCTAAAGTGTGCAAAGCTAGAAGACCCCTTATACTCGTTCGTTATCTATTTTGACTAAGATTATATGTCAGTACAACTGCTACTAAAACAAAGAAAGACTGACCAGTTGAGATTAGGAACGTGAAGCATATTTATTTCTATTCATAAATATGGATATTTGAATTTGAACGGACACCTTGTAATATATAAATACACTGTCCCAAATGTTTTGTTAAAGAGCAACAGAAGCATACAATCTTTACACATAGCAGACGGATGGACAGAGGCTTTACTATATCCCTACCGAACTTCGTTTGTTAGGATATTTGCTTCTTGTTTCTGTAACAAACCCCAACCAATTGGTACCAATCGTCGAAAACGTAACTTCGGATCATGCGTTACATAAACAGATATTCACCATTCGGTTTCAACCACATGTCATCTCCGGTGTTAATACTTGTTGGACCAGCGGTATTTGATTGTCTCGTTTTCAAAAGGTAGAATACGATACATATAAGAACAATGACCAATATACATAACGCAGATGTTGCACATGCTAAGCCAAGGATTATGGAATTATTAATGCCTATCGAAGATAATGAGTTGGGGTCGTTTGCCCTGGAGGATGGATTCATTGTGTGAGTAGACCCCTGTGTTGGTTGAATGAATGTCTGAGTTGGCTGAATGGATGCCTGTATTGCTTGTGTAGATGTTTGTGTTGGTTGAATGGATGCCAGTGGTGGTTGAATGGATGCCTGTGGTGGTTTTGTGGATGCTTGTGTTGGTTGAATGGATGTCTGTGTAGGTTTGATGGATGTCTGTGTTGGTTGAATGGATGTCTGTGTTGGTTGAATGGATGTTTGTGTTGGTTGCGTGGATGTCTGTGTTGGTTGAATAGATGTCTGTGTTGGTTGAATGGATGTTTGTGTTGGTTGCGTGGATGTTTGTGTTGGTTGAATAGATGTCTGTGTTGGTTGAATGGATGTCTGTGTTGGTTGCGTGGATGTCTGTGTTGGTTGCGTGGATGTCTGTGTAGGTTTGATGGATGTCTGTGTTGGTTGAATGGATGTCTGTGTTGGTTGAATGGATGTTTGTGTTGGTTGCGTGGATGTCTGTGTTGGTTGAATAGATGTCTGTGTTGGTTGAATGGATGTCTGTGTTGGTTGCGTGGATGTCTGTGTAGACGAATAGCCGGTTTCTACTATTTTGGAGCAAAGGTCTTTGTCCCTTATTGCAGTTACATTACTTAAGTTTTCATCTGACACGGATGTTATATTATTTCCACCCATCGATAAATACTCAAGGCTTGGCATGAACTGACATATATCAGCTGGTATATGATCAAGATTATTACCGTCTAAAATGAGAGCAGTAAGGGCACTGAGTTCTCTAAATGCACCATATTCTACCTCTGATATGACATTAAAAGAAAGATAAAGCAATTTCAGTGATGTAAGACCACCAAACATGTCAGTGGTCACTATTATCAGTTTATTTCTCAACAGAACTAAGGTTGTCAATGATTGCAAGTCAGAAAATGTACCAGGCTCTACCTGAAATATTTCATTCTCGCCTAGATTAAGACCAGTTAGTGATGAAAGATTACTGAACATGCCCCTTTTTAGTATTGTCAGTTTATTCATGAGCAAGGTCAACGTTTCAAGTGACTGCAAACCAGACAACGCCCCGATCTCTATCTCTGATATCTCGTTTATATCTAGGTATAACATGGTGGTGTCAGGATAAGGATCAAACATGCTTGCTGTTAAATTCGTCAGCTGCTTTCTACTCCAATTTAACTCAGAACCATCGGTTGTCGAGGGATTGATGACCTGATGTAGGATTATCACCACCAGACACTTTATCATCACATTCTGAAATGTTTTTAAATAAATTAATAGTATGATTTATAATTCTTACTTTATGGGTTAAATTGTTATGTCGTGTTATTAGACACCAGATTTTCAATCTGTACTGTTGCCTTTCCCAGCTTCCTTTCTTCTTTTCTCCCAGTGTTCTCGCTAACCAGAAGAGTTTACTTAAAGTATTAAAATATTCAAATTTCCCACCATTTTTCTGAATTTTTTTATTTATCAAATATTTCTTAATGCATTTCAAAAAAGATTATCTTTTTAACACCAATGCAAAGATTGAACAAAGGACACATTATTTCAATAATAAAATGCCATATTTAATGGGCCACTTCAATGTTTTAGCATATCAAACATATTTTGAAACATTAGTGATGTCACTAAGGTAGCAAAAACTTTTTGAAAAAATTGAATTTTTTTTTCAATGTCAATCTTTTCTACATATGCTAAACTTCAATAATAAACCAATGTTGATTGTCTTACCAGGTTAAAAGGAAGAATATATTATGTTTTAGATATTATTGTACCATTGGTTTCTATGAGAACTAAAATTTTGAAATGCATTTTTCTCGGAACCATTTTCATGCACTGATAAGTTCATTTCTCGCTTATTTATTAACCGATTTTCTTAATTTTTTCGGCAAAAACATGCAAGAATGAATGCTATGCATTGGTATGAATTGTGGCTAGTTAAAAGATATGTGTGACCTCTAAAAGTTAGTTTTAAATAAATTCACAAATTTTCGAACAAAAAGTCTATCAAAAACCAGTTTTTGAAATTTAAAAAAAAAGTTTCACATATCACACTTTGATACCATACAGCCATAGGGTAAGACTACAGTATAAGCCAAAGTTGTTTAACTTGTTAAACTTTATATGGGGACTTTAAGCAGCTTACATGGATAGTTCGGGAATGCGTCTTGGAAGATTAGAAATTAGGGCAATATTTAACTGGGTCGAAGGTAAAAAACTAGGTCCAATTTTGAAGTTTCACTATTTCCAAGTTTTCTCTGTTGTCCTGTCAGTACAAGTATTTTTTCTCGTTCTCTTTTTTACCATGTTCCTTGTAAACAAAGCTTATTCCGGAAGGCAAATCCTTGTAAACAAAGCTAATTCCAGAAGGCAAATCCTTGTAAACAAAGCTAATTCCAGAAGGCGAATTCTTGTAAACAAAGCTAATTCCAGAAGGCAAATCCTTGTAAACAAAGCTAATTCCGAAGGCAAATCCTTGTAAACAAAGCTAATACCGAAAGGCAAATCCCTATGAACAAAGCTAATTCCAGAAGGCAAATCTTTTTTTTATTACCATTTTCATATATCTCTGTCCGATTATTAGGTCAGCAAAAGGGTTCTCCAAATTCAGCGTTTGGTGTGTCAAAAGGATATGAAAGGACGATTCTCGGTTTGGAGAACGAAGTTTATCAATCTAAATGAGCATTATCCCTGCTTCGGACAAGTTTGATTTTTTATATAATATAGATTTGAATGTCTTCTTTTGAATAGTCATAATTGAATTTGGGTAATATTTCTAGATTTTTCGCAAAAAAATATTAGCACAGTACACTAATGAACTTCTTTCCCCAAATCGAGACTTGTATTTTATTGAATCGGTCTAATTGAGGGTTATCCCTGCTTCAGACCAATTTGTTATTTTTACATCTTGTAGATTTAAATGTTCTCTTTTGAATATTCATAGTTTAATTTGGGTAATATTTCTATATTTTTCATGAAAAAAATTATTAGCACAGGAGACTGTTCTCCAAACCGAGAATCGTCCTTTCTCAGGATTCTGAATTCGATTTAGATTTTATGAAGTTTTGAAATGTTTTGAAAAATCGATATAGTGATTTCACAATGTAAGGTCAATGGAGCCGAAGAAAAGAAATCAAATTGAAAATTACCATAAACAGACTGAAATTCACATAAAATTACTGATCGCCTACAACAAAAGAGGAATTCTTAAGCTAATTTAAATCAAAATTTGGACACGCAGTTGCCAAGGTCAAAATCTAGGACAAATCTTTGGTTTTCCTTATTTTTCCAATCCTGACACTACACGTAATAGTTTTCCTTCAAATAAAGCATACAGATAGGCAAGAGCATGCTAATAGTGTAAGTTGTTTTGCCACCAGAGGGTATTATGACCCAGTTTTGAGATATGGTGTCCGGAAAGTAGGTCAACGAGAAGTTTTCCAAATTCAACGTTTGAGATCAAAATCGTGGGAAATTTTCTCAGGATTACAATTTGAATCTTATAATTGAAATACGACATTCGGATTAAATTCTATGACGTTTTGAAATTTTGGAAAAATCGATATGATGACATCCCCATGTGGGTCAAGGTAGCAAATATAGTAACATATTGTGTAATGGCCACCATTTTTCAAGATTGGCGCAATGTTTTTTAAATTAGGTTTTACAATCTAAACAACAGCCTGTATATTTTGTGGCACTTAAAACAAAATTTAAATTCATATTACACTTTTATATGTTGTACCTTACACACTGTAAAATTGACACTAAAATGGCGGTCATTTTAAAACAAGAGGCCATTTTGAAAATCAGCTTTCGAGAAGAATTTATACTCACATGGGGCATATGCGTATAAAATATCGGGTGACCTAAAATGAATGTAACGCATAATTTATAAATGTGCTTGTGATTTCTATAGCCAATAAGATAAATGCTACAATTTCCACTCATACGATTTGATCAAATGACCATAAGTGGGGCCAAAACTCACCAAACTTGAAAGCAACAATTTTTATCTTTGCGGTTATGGTATCATCAACATTGAAAATTATGGTGATTCGAGTGAAAGCATGAATTCAATGTTTTAAAGAACTTCTCGGGACACAGACGTTGACGTATAGTGCTGCGGGAATTATATCATATGATATAATAGGAATTTTTGTGATATACTTCATGTTATTATATGATCATCCGAATGCTTACTCACTGCCTCATCGGGTTTTAATCACGGTATAATCGGAATACTCAGGCGGTATCATCCTATAGAATCGTACTCGTGGTATAATCGGGTCTTTAATTTTCAACCGGTGATATCAATGATATGCAGCAACGTATGGCAATGAAATAATGTGATTTATCCCATACTTGGACGTGTTACAGGTACATAAAGCCGGTTTGTAAAAACTTATATTTTCATCAGCGGGCAGATATAGCTTTACGTCCCGCTCCGAGCGGGCAGATATAGTATATCTGCCCGCTACGTCATAATCTCCGCTCGCATATTTGTAACGTTCGCGTAATGACTGTAAACGACAATGGGGAAAACACAGACAATCGGGATCTGTTTGATGGTTTAAAAAAGGGAAGGAACATCCACTTTATCAATCAAAAAATTCCAGAAAATAAATGTGGGAATATTTGAGAGAACAGGAAAATCCGACCACGGCCAAGAAACGAAACTGGACATGAATATTCTAAAATATTTCCACGATTGAACAATGTGAACCAGATGACCAAGATTGGTATGGGATAAACATATTATCCTATAGTCGGTTCAGGATATTGGGATTATCCCCTGGCCAATATGTTATATTTTCCCTCGGGACCTGCGGCCCTCGGGCAAATATATTATATTTGCCTCGGGATAATCCCAATATCCTGAACCTCATATAGGATAATCTCTATATATTTGCACCTATTATATTTTTGAATCAAATCTTGTAAATACAGCCATGGTTCTTACTTATTTAAGATGTAAAGCATCATTCCAAAATTGAGAAGTTGAATTTAGCAATTTGATAGTAAATATTGCATTAGGTACTCATTATTCTGCAAACATGAGTGCCTGGAACAACAACTATATCGGTTACACCCCAGTCACATTTCCCACGGCCGCCATGCGGTCTATCATTTCTGCGGCTAGTAGCTTTTCAACGCTCGCCGTAGAATTTCTGCGCTCTCATACTTTTGCAGTCACATTTCCCACGGCAGCCGCACGTGAATTTTAAATTTCTGTTGATAAATAATACTTTTTTTCATTTTATTAACATAAGGACAATTTGTGAATGTTATTCATAGTGCCAGGATGTAATATCAAATGAAAAGTGATCGTGAAACATTTACAAATAATGATTCAATCTTGTTGAGCCAGTTGATTTCTACGGGGACCTCAGAAATGAACAAATATTATAACTCCGAGTTATAATTTCTACGGCGACCCTGCGGCCTGTAAAAAACTGGGTACGCCGTATGGAGACCGCAAGGCGAGCGTAGTTTTTCTACGCTCGCCGCAGTAATTCACTGATTTAATTGATCTGCGGTCGACACACGGCCTCCGTACGAGAAATGTGACTGGGTTGTTACAAACAATTCTATGTTTTATCTATTTCTCATATTGAGAAATTCAATATATAAACAGGAGTTTATCAACTTATCCCCTACATTTTCAGACATCTTCGGCAGTAGGTTGTATATAGGCGGGTAGACTTTCCCCTCGTGCTCATTGTCAGAGAATAACCGGCTTTAGTTAAAAATAAATTTTGTAAAAATCTTGAATTATCTTGTAAAAGCGATTTTCTCCTAGACGTTGACCAAATTAGGCGATAACATCCCGAGATAAGTGTTTGAATAAAAACATTATTTTGAGGTAAAACTGGGTAGGGTGGGTTAAATGATTTTCTTCATTTCGAACTTTACTCAGCTACAATAAGTTATTAATATGATACTTACCCTCATATCGATGGATGTCATGATTGGGCGTGAGATTTTTGATGCAGAAAATGACCAATTGAAAGATTCCTAGGAATGTATTAACCTCCTTCCTTTATTTAATATTACAAAGTTTGTTATGTATTTTTTCTCTCAGTTCCTTTTGGGTTGTTTTCTCAGTCCGTTTGTATTAAGTCTGATCTAAACGATGTCCCAGTCTCCAAGATATAGTCTTTGGATTTAAGCTGATTGCGATCTAAATTGTTTGTTTACACAATGAGATTGTATTTTTATATAAAAACATTAAATTCTTCTTCAATCAAATGCCAGAATGTGGAATAGTTTGCGTTTAACTTTATATATCTTAATGTGCTCTTATAAAATCACTATCAGTTCATTGGTCGATCGCGTGCTTTTATGATGAAATCTGCATTTTCTATAACAGCTTCTTTTCAAGATTTCAAGTAAGTTTCAAATTGTATTTAGTACGTTTTTGTAAATAAATAATGTGTCGATGAATGCATTTATTGTTTATGATCTAAAATTGGCACATTATTACAAAATTGTTCACAATATTTGTAGATTTAGGGCGATTTTTATGATCCAAACCCTACAGAATGCTCTGTTCTATTATACGTTTGACACTAAATGAATAAGCTATTCATATTCAAAAGGAATTGAAATATTTCTACTTAATACAGCAATACAGTACAGGGGCATTTTGACTTCTAAAATGAAGCTTTTCATACACAGAAATAATTAAGGAATAAAGACCGAGATTCTATGATTTATAAGGCGCAATATATGACCGAAAATTTTATTCTGCTCATTGTTAAAAGACCGAAATCGCGTAGGTTATATATTTGCCATAAATCATAGAAATGAGGTATTTGTTACGATTCTAACATGATAAAACCTAAGTTTCTTCCGATTTGATTATTTTCAATCTGAAAAATTCTAATGTTTTGGACATTCTATTTACCGAATTTCCTCCTAGCTAAATAGTTTGCAAAATATCAATAATGAAACTGACGTCACATATTGACATCTGTCATGTCTATATTGTGACTAAACTGGTTCAGAGGCGGTGAGTATGCAATTGATGATTTGCGATCACCGAATGGATTCTGTCTTTTAGTGACGTCACAATTAGGTCACCCAGCTTTAGACATTGCACAGAATTGGTCGAATAGCCGATAGATGTCATTCATTGATTAAACATGACGTCATATTTGAGATCTTAAGATAAATCTGACGTCATGACGTCAGTGCCATAGAAACTGAGATTGTCTTATTTTATTTGACGTCATTCCAATGTAATGAACCAGTTATATCACCAAAAGTTATCATATTTTGTTTGAAATTGGCCGAAAAGTTAAAGGTATGAGGATTCTAATCTCAACGGAATCAAACAGATCTACCTTCAAAGTTACAGAAACCTGAGATGACTAAGATACCATATGATTTTAAGTACCTCTACCAGACCGTTGAATATCCTCATTTCACCATTTTGACGCCATTTCTAATGGATTTCAATGGAGTCATGCATGAATTCCTCATGATTTTTTCAAAACAAATTGGCCGAAAAGTGTGCATGTGTACATTGCTTAAAACATGTTAAATCAGTAAAGGTTGATGTCTAGTTATAGAAACCTGAGATGACTAAGGTGGCAAATCAATATCATTCGCACAGTAAGCGTTCGAAAAATGTCTCCATTATAAATCCCATAGGCTTTGGAAAAGCGGAAGTAATGGTTCTGCGCATGCGCAGTGAAATATTCGACAAATTTTGTGCAATGATGCTTGATTTTGAGAGATTATCTTCTATATTTCGTGCTTTATTGATTTATTTTTCACGAAAGCGTTCGATTTGACTAGATCAACATTCATGCTAAGCACATACCAAGTCTAAGGTCTTACTGACATGATTTAGATAGCGGTTAAGCGCCCCCCGATTTTGACAAAAACGGGGGACGCTTATAGGCATCGATGTTTAGTATGAATTTCACCCAAACTTCGCACATATATAGATACTCATGATCTAGTCAAATCGGCATACCTGGTAAATATCCGACCCATGATTTTCATATAAGAAACGACAATATTTTTAGCTCAAAACTTCCACGTGTCCGCCATTTCGTGATTCCATCATGTCTAATATCATTTCGATCAGAATTCAAGAATTTTGTTTATGGATACTGTTGTCATGTATTTCGTCTTATTGGTGTGACGTCATATAGAAATGATATTAGACATGATGGAATCACGAAATTGCGGACACGTGGCAGTTTTGACCTAAAAATATTGTCGTTTCTTTTATGAAAACCATGGGTCGGATATTTACCAGATATGCCTATTTGACTAGATCATGAGTATATCTATATATGTGCGAAGTTTGGGTGAAATTCATACTAAACATCGATGCCTATAAGCGCCCCCCGATTTTGAAGAAATCGGGGGGCGCTTAACCGCTATCTAAATCATGTCAGAAAGATCTTAGACTTGGTATGTGCTTAACATGAATGTTGATCTAGTCAAATCGAACGCTTTCGTGAAAAACAAATCAATAAAGCACGAATTATAGAAGATAATCTCTCAAAATCAAACATCTAAAGCTGAGTGACCTAATTGTGACGTCACTACAAGATAGAATCTATCCGGTGATCGCAAATCATCAATTGTAATAGTCATTACATTTTTTGGTCTATATTGAAATTTACAGGTCATACATAGGCCTACCCCAATACAGACCAATAAATCAATTGTTCTCGTCATTGTGACATCACACATCATGTTAGGATCTCTATTATACCCTCAATTCATAGAATGTACAACATGCTGCATGATGATCGTCCCTACCCTTTGCATCCGTTTGACTTCACTTCTTAAAAGAGAGCTTCGTCTTCGCCTGTAGCTTCGTCTGTAGTTTAACTAGACTCTACACGCAGGGTAGAACGTCCCCCAAATCAACAGCCAATTCTAAATCACCCGGCCCTGTAATCTAAATAGAGGATATCCTATGATTTATGAGTAAGGGAACATGGGGCAAAACGGCCCTAAAAAATTAATTTAAGTTGTTCTGTACGGGGTATTTTCTTATCTGTCAATCATCGCGCACTTTGATGTTCCACTTTATCAATCATGGTTTGTGGTTTACATTTTTCGAGTGTTTTATCTGTTTATACTTGCCTAGGACTATCTTCTGTGATTTTTCAATGGTCAAAAATATTGTCGAGAGTGGGGCAAAACGGCCCATAGGTGGGGTAAAACGGCCCACCCTCTGTTACATGGTTATTAAAACCAAAATTAATCAATTACAAGACTCGTCCATACACTTCTTATCTCGGACGTTCAAATCTTTGACAGATAAAGTATTCTTCACCGCTACCATAATTCTAGTCATTCGATATGTGTCGGAGTGAAATAAGGTACAAACCAAATGTTAAAATCGTTATATTTGAAAACCAATTCTACTTGCAAAATAAGATTTTTGTATGTTATAACATGTATGGGCCGTTTTGCCCCAAAGACATGTGAATTTTCAAATAGACGTCATTTTAATTTGCCTAATATTTGAAGCTCGAAATTTTTATAAATAAAGAATAAATGTGCAAACTCTATGAAAAATGTTAAATTAAAACGATATTCTATTGTTGCCGGATTTTCTAGAGATTCTCGTGGGAGGGGTAATTTACAAAAAAGAGGGTGAAAAATAGAATTACCTCTTACGTAAAGCGAAACGCTGCTTGGTTAAAAATGGGCGGTCGAGAAGGTGGCAGACATTTCAAAATTCGATTATGTGACTTTTGAAGAACCATCTTTTTATAGTTCAAAAGATATTTCGATGGGCCACTTTGCCCCAGAGGGCCGTTTTGCCCCATGTTCCCCTAATATGATTTTAATCCACGAATGGATATGATATCTGCACGAGCGAGCGTAGCGAGAGAGTGCAGATATCAATATCCACGAGTGGATTAAAATCATATCACGAGTAAATCATAGGATGTTCTTTTTATTCCATAGTTAAAGTCATAATCAGAATCGTCGGAAATTAAATGATTTAATTTGAATTTTCCAAACGATCCGGCGATGTTGACACTTAGCCTCGTTTTGAGTCTGAAGTAGCAAAAATCCATAAACCATCGCATACGGCGCCGTATGTCATGGCTAAAAAAACGTATGCTATGGTTAAAAATATCATATTTTACCACTGATTACAAAAATACCGTTTTTATTTTCACATTTTATCCTATGAATATCATGCTAACTATGGAATAAATATTACATCCACCTATATTCTAATGAATTGTTATTATAGTTAAGAGGTTTTACATTACGCTAGAAACGATGTTTTCAAACGGCCACAAAAAGCAACACTTAATTTTTAGAATGTCTGTCATGAAATCTATGTGGCTCTTCCAAACACGTGTGGACGTACAAACTGGATTTTGCCTGTCACACATTATTTGAGACTGAATGGTCTAGCTATATAAATTTATCATTCTTAAAAAGTTGTTTAATGAAAATTCATTATGAGTTTAACAAGAGATTTTGTAGGTTAAGAATGCTTTAAAGTTTATACAGTGAAAATTTCATGAAAAAGTATTTTAAGAATTGAAAAAATTATCAGGAAAAAGAGGTGTATGACTTGTTCCGTCCTGGCTACTATAAAATATAAATGATATTGGACCAACTGTATTTGAGTTATTGCCTGAACAGATAGATCTACGTACAGACGTAGCCGTTCTCTATATCCCATTTTCTGATTTTTTCAAAGGAATTTATATAGCTACAATGTAGCTCTGTATGGAATTTGTATAATTGAATTTTACATCTTGCCTGCAATTATGACATGTATTCGAGCCAATGAGTGCCAAAAATATGACATGTATTCGAACCAATGAGTGCCAAAAATATGACACATATGAGCCAATAAGTGCTAAAAATATGACACGTATGAGCTTATGAGTGCCAAAAATATGACACGTATGACACGTATGAGCCAATGAGTGCCAAAAATATAACAAATACAAGCCAATGAGTGCCAAAAATATGAGACATATGAGCCAATGAGTGCCAAAACTATGAAACATATGAGCCAATGAGTACTAAAAATAAGACAAGTATGAGCCAATAAGTACCAAGAATATTACACATATGAGCCAATGAGTGCCAAAAATATGACACATATGAGCCAATAAGTGCCAAGAATATGACACGAATGAGCCAATGAGTGCCAAAATATGACAAATATGAGCCAATAAGTGCCAAGAATATGACACGAATGAGCCAATGAGTGCCAAAAATATGCAGTTTCTCATAATTCAATTCTCTCAGAAATAGCAAACGTTTTATAGCATATAAAATCAAAATTCAAATTGTTGTGTATATTTTTTTTTCATTTTACTACTACTATTTACTATTGCCCTAATAAATTGAGGTATCCCACTCCTAGAAGTTTTCCACCTTACACTTCACAGGTTTCACTGTAGTTATTCGTTTCATCAAAAAGTAACAGTTTATTGTATAAATATATCATGACTGTATTATAATTAATAATAGGTATACATACAAACTAAAAAGTGCACATACAGCTATACACATGTACAATAAGTATACAATAACCTATATATTTTACAATAAATAATTGTAATTTTTCAAACATAACTATATAGACACAAACTGACAGTATGCCACATACATAATATAATTTATCAATAATTCTCATTTAATCTAATTCCGTAATTTTATATTATTTAGTGATTTTGTTTGATCCTCCTTAAAGTCTAATTTAATACCTAATTCAAGTACTAAGTTTTTTAATTGTTCATTTTGGGCCCAGTTTACTCCACTGCCGAGTATCAGTCCTTGTAGAATGTTGCGGAGAATAATAACTTTACATTTGGATTTCTTGAAGGTATCTCTCAATCTGAAATAAATGCAATATCTAGTTTATAACATTTGTTTATAATTTTCAATAAAATTATCTAGGGAGATTCTTGGAGCAATTTTTACGTGTTGAAGTATGCTATTAAACCCACTAAATTTTTCGCCATCTATTGACAATGCAATTTCTAATTTATAACATTCATTTATAATTTGAAAATCTTACTTCAGCACATAAAAATAACACATCATTTAACCATCATTTTAGTAAGTAACAGAGACTGAAACAAGTGAAAAAATGGGATCCAGGATTTGTATAGATGGCAGTTAACTACTAGGTTGTTCTTGTAATGTGACCCATTGGTTTGGGTGTAAATATTGCTGTTTTAAAACTTCAAATTCACTACACATATCAAATAAATATCATATTTTCCTTCATTATTATTTACAAACATGGTTCAAGATTCAAAATCAAAAGGTTTTGGATATTTTCAATAAAATTTATCTTGGGAGATTTTTGGAGTAATTTTTAACTGTTAAAGTATGCTATCAAACCCATTTATTGACAGTTCTGAAGGCAATGACTCCTAAAGATATCGATATCCCTCAAAAAAACAATTATAATATTACATGCACTGTTGACGGTTTCGGATGCTCACAACATTTTGGGATATAGATCTCTTTTCATGTATACTTTTTTATTCCATAGTTAGCATGATATGCATAGGATAACATGTCAAAATAAAAAGGGTATTTTGAAATCAATGGTAAAATATGATATTTTTGACAATTTTTTTCTTAACCATAGCATACAGTGTTTTGCCCATGACATACGGCGCCGTATGCTATGAATTATGGAGTTTTGCTACTTCAGACTCAAATCGCCCCAATTTATATGGGAGAAATCCCAATTTATATGGGAGAAATCCCAATTTATATGGGAGAAATTCCAATTTATATGGGAGAAATCCCAATTTATATGGGAGAAATCCCAATTTATATGGGAGAAATCCCAGTTTATATGGGAGAAATCCCAATTTATATGGGAGAAATCCCAGTTTATATGGGAGAAATCCTAATGTATATGGGAGAAATCCAAATTTATATGGGAGAAATCCCAATTTATATGGGAGAAATCCCAATTTATATGGGAGAAATCCCAATTTATATGGGAGAAATCCCAGTTTATATGGGAGAAATCCCAATTTATATGGGAGAAATCCCAGTTTATATGGGAGAAATCCTATTGTATATGGGAGAAATCCAAATTTATATGGGAGAAATCCCAATTTATATGGGAGAAATCCCAAATTATATGGGAGAAATCCTAATTTATATGGGTGAAATCCCAATTTATATGGGAGAAATCCTAATTTATATGGGAGAAATCCCAATTTATATGGGAGAAATCCCAATTTATATGGGAGAAATCCCAATTTATATGGAAGAAATCCTAATTTATATGGGAGAAATCCCAATTTATATGGGAGAAATCCTAATTTATATGGGAGAAATCCCAATTTATATGGGAGAAATCCTAATAAATATGGGAGAAATCTCAATTTATATGGGAGAAATCTTAATTTATATGGGAGAAATCCCAATTTATATGGGAGAAATCCTAATTTATATTGGAGAAATCCTAATTTATATGGGAGAAATCCAAATTTATATGGGAGAAATCCAAATTTATATGGGAGAAATCCAAATTTATATGGGAGAAATCCCAATTTTTCAGTACTCGTCCCAATCTTTTACTCAAAAATTTGATTTTCAAAAATACTTACATCTGTATATCTTCGGAACCAGAGGCCTGAGTTCTCAGTGTTTCCCTTTCTTCTCTGATGTCATGAAGCTTCTTCAGTAATTCACGATTTCCATGTAGCAGATCTGAAAAACATCAGATCAAAATTTATATTCTCAAACAGGTTAAGCCTACAATTCTCTAATTTCCAAGTAAAGGACATCAAAACCGAATCTATTCTAAAAATACATGAACAAAAACAACATTAAAAACTCCTCGGAGTAGCAAATCCCTCTGAACAAAAAATGTTTTGATAAATAGTGGCCATCTTCTTGAATTTCATCTTGAACAGTCCTCCCTTGTCCCTAGGTATCAGCATATAAAACATCTGTCAACTGGTATTTGAGTTATCAAAGATTAGGTTTTTTACGAAAAATGGCAGCAATTTCGAAATTCAGGTGCCATCTTGGAAATTTCTTCTCGACCAGAGCTCCTTTATCTCTAGGCATTAGTATATAAGATTTGAACGAAATCTGTCCACTTGTATTTGAGAAAGCTTATGTGTTTTTACTAAAAATGGTGGCCATTTTGAAAATTCAGCTGTCATCTTGAAAATTTCTTCTCAAAAAGAGCTTCTTTGTTACTTTGCGTCAGCATATAAGGTTTGAACCAAAATCTGTCCACTGGTATTTGAGTTATCAAAGATTATGTTTTTTTACACTAAAAATGGAAGCCATTCTGAAATTTGGTAGCCATGTTGAAAATGTCTTCTTAAGTGGAGTTTTCACGTCCTTAAGCATCAGCATATAACATTTGAACCAAATCCATCAACTGGTATTTGAGTTATCAAAGATTACATTCTGTTACAAAAAATGCTTGCCATTTTGAAAAATCCCTTCTTGACCAGAGCTCCAGTGCAGTGTCCCTAGGTATCAGCATATAAATTTTGAACCAAATCTATCTACTGGTAGTTGAGTTATCAAGCATTACATTTTTTTATGAAATATGGCCGTCATTTTTAACTTCAGCAGCTTGAAAATCTCTTCCTCAGCAAAGCTCCTTTGCCTTTAGGCATCAGCATATAAATTTTTAACCAAATCCATCAACTAGTATTTCAGTTATCATTAGTTTTTTTTACGAAAAATGGCAGCAATTTTGAAATGAGCAGCCATATTGAAAATTCCTTCTCAAACAGAGGTTCTACACCAATAAGGCATAAGGCTATAAAATTTGAATGGAATATGTCAACTGGTATTTGAGTTATCTCCCGGACACACTAGCTGACAAACAAATGGATGGATGGATGAACGGACTTCCTATATCCCCCAGGATCTTTCAACTGTACACTTAATCAAGTGTTATTCTAGTACAGTACAAAAATGAATGAAAAAGATAATATAGAAAAATAGAACCTTTGTATTTTTCACATATTTTTGGGTGGTAAAGAAAAGTGTTAACACTTAAAATAAAACATCCTAATTATGTACCATTATTACGGAAAGCGAAAGGGGATATACCGCAGAATTTAAAATTCAATGGAGTTTTAACATGGGAGTGATATCACACACCGCGGCCCAGTCAGATATATTTCTGCGCACTTTATTTATTTAATTCACTTTGCACAACGCGCCCCCTGTAATTCATTCAGTGCGCAATTAAAAATTGTTTATGAGTGATATCGCACACCGCGGCCCAGTAAGATCGATTTCTGCGCACTTTATTTATTAACACACTCAAAATATCGCGCTGAAGCTTGTATATGCTGGCGCGATGTAAATATAGTTTTCTGTTAATAAATGCCCAACAAGAAAGGGTAGCACAACGAATTCAACTTTTTTCGAAAGACTGCAGACTTGACCTGCGAAATTGTAATTTTGGATCACAGTGATGCCTCTAGAGAGGATATCTATGAGAATTACAGATTATAGTGCGCAGAATTATAAAGTCAAACTGACCTCAAAATGGTAGTACACAGTGTACACTGCCATCTTTCAATAAAGTGTGTACTACAGACCTTCGTATACAAAATACCAGAATGATTGATGTAAACCTGTATACCATTTATTCTGGGAGAAGGAAAGTTCCTATATGTGTTCCATGGCCGTAGCCAGGGGGCCTCACCCCCTCCCCCTTGCCAAATATTCATTCAAAATCATGCAGTTTTTCACCATTATTCTTAGCACTTTTCGCATGATTTTTTTGCCATAACTGTCAAAAAGCTCCCCCCTCTTGGCAAAATCTCCCCCTTGGTAAAACCACTCCCCAAGGTTAATCAAGGATACGGGTCTGTATTCTTAGACGAGATTGTTCAAGAACATAAGGTAGACATAAGTGCCACCTGTTAAAAGCTAGCAGATCTTTTCTAAGTTATTAATTCATCAATCAGCAGACTGGTAATTGTATCCCCCACCCACTTCAAACTCCATACACTAACATACTATTACAATATCTGTGTTTATTTGACTGTAGAAGGTGTACATTCATAGCATTGAATTGCATTTCATTGCATTGTATTGTATTGTATAGCACATCATTGTATTGTATTGTACTGCATTTTATTGTATTGCACAACATTGTATTGTATTGCATTGTGTTGTATTGCATTGTATTGAATTGCACTGTATTGTATTTTATTGCACTGCATTGCACTACATTGTATTGCACTGTATTGAACTGTGATGTATTGTATTGCACTGCATTGTATTGCACTGTACCAAATTGTATTGCACTGCATTGTATTGAAATGAACTACATTGTATTGCACTGCACGGCATTGTTTTGCATTGCATTGTATTGCACTGCATTGTATTGCATTATATTGTACTGTATTGTATTGCATCGTATTGCACTGCATTGTATTGCATTATATTGCACTGTATTGTATTGCACTGTATTGTATTGCACTGCACTGTATTGAACTGCGATGTATTGTATTGCACTGCATTGTATTGCACTGTACCACATTGTATTGCACTGCATTGTATTGAAATGAACTACATTGTAACTGTATTGCATTTTATTGCACTGCATTGTATTGCACTGTACCACATTGTATTGCACTGCATTGTATTGAAATGAACTACATTGTATTGCACTGCACGGCATTGTATTGCATTGCACTGCATTGTATTGCATTATATTGCACTGTATTGTATTGCATCGTATTGCACTGCATTTTATTGTATTATATTGCACTACATTGTATTGTATCATATTGCACTGCATTTTTTGCATCATATAACACTGCTTTGTATTGCATCATATTACACTACATTGTATTGCATCATATTGCACTGCATTGTATTGCATCATATTGCTCTGCATTGTATTCCATCATATTGCACCGCATTGTATTGCATCATATTGCACTGCATTGTATAACATCATATTGCACTGCATTGTATTGCATCATATTCCGTATTTACCATTTCGTTACAGTTTTATTACATAAAATGTTATTTATAAGATTATAATTTTCAAACATTGAAAATATTTTATACAATATCAATTAAAAGAAATGAAATGGCCCAAAATAATATATTTTCAATGGAACCCTTTGCAAGGGTCACTTCAACATAACGCCACGTGTAATCTGTATGCATACGCCCTCTTTTAATGAACATTATCTTTGAAACCATATTAGAATCGAATCTGATAAAAGTGTGCATGTCCTGGATGTGCTGCGCGCTAGAATCGGGAAATCTCAAAGTTCTCCTCGTTAGAGCCATCAATATTATCCAAAATTGTCATTTCGCTGGTTCACTCCGCAGTCTTTCGAAAAAAATCAAATTCGTGGTGCCACGAATTTTTATTCGTTATCTATTCACAGATAATCATTTTTTCATCGCGCACTGAATGCCGGAATTTCTGCGCACTTTATTTTAATTAACTTTGCACAACGTGGCCCCTGTAATTCATTCAGTGCGCGATAAAATCTATCTGACTGGGCCGCGGTGTGTGATATCACTCCCATGTTGAAACTCCATTCGATTTTGAATTATGCGCATGTCCCCTATCGCTTTCCGTACATTATGTTGCTTAGTGCACCAAATTTGTTACTATGAACATTTAAACAAAAAATATAAAATTAATGAAAAAAATTATGACTTAAAAATCATAATTCTCATTTACACCTTGGTAATGAAAGGGTTAATTATTCAACTTTGCAAACTCAGACAGGTCACACTCATCTTTTTAAGTATAAATAAAAAATAGGACATTTAACATTAAGGGGACTTTGGGGCTCTCCTTTGCAAAGCTATTCGTGAGGCAACCAGGTGTATCATTTCATATTAAATTTTTTGTATAAACAAGGTCTAATACTTTTATAAAGCTTCATAATGATTAATGACAGCTCTCCTATTTAACAATATTTGTGAAAATATCCTGGTTTGATTCTGTAATTTCATTGGATAGCAATGACCTTGAACTTCTGAAACACCAGGTGAAAAATGCATGTAAGTCAAAAACTAGCCAACTGGAAAAATCTCTAAAGAGTTTGTCTGAATGGATTTCTATTCAGCAATTTTAGTGTGTTTATCCTGGTTTAATTCTGGAATTTCATTGGTTGGCAATGACCTTGAACTCTGAATCTCCAGGTAAAAAAATATGCAGACATTAATTCCCATTTCTAAAACAGACTTGATGACTCCATGCTAATTCCATTACACTTCTCTACACAGCATTAGTATTTTTATATTCTAATTTACTTTACTTTTTTCAAAGTTAGTCATTGTTTTATGTAGTTATTCCTTGTAATATATCTCTCTATTTGCTTATTTAAAGAATAAATCCATGACTGGTTAGATATTCAATCTAGAGGTTTACCTGAGTCGTAACGTCTTTGCCATAGGTGTCTTTATTGAAATTTGGTGTCACACAGTTAACAGATACTGCGCAATAGACTTTTAAATATATTATTCTGTAGGATTTGGATTAAATACCTAAAGGTATATATTTAAATATACAAACTAATTTCTCCAGTTTGGAAGTAGAAATCATACATGTTACATCACTGAAAAACATGGATATTGGAATACATGCATCTGTATGTGTGAACAATGACAAAGATAACAAAAATATGAGAATGGACACTCCAGTGCACTTTTGAAGCCCTTTTAGACACAAAGCATGTGTTGTCTTAAGG